AAAACCCTCGTGCTGGAAAAGCCATGAAAAATGAACAAAATTCGAAACTGATAACTTGAATATCTAGTCAGGCAAGCAAGTACATCGATAGGAGCATAAAAGTACTAAAGCTACCATCATATCTAATTACCAGACTTCTCAACGTATGTTATGAAATCTTCACATGCCTCCATAAGGTCTGGATGTTCTCCAATTAAACTAGCCACCTGAAATAAAAACTTAGCATCCAAGTTAGATGCTCTTTCAAAGACATCATATAAAACAGAAAAAACTGACCAAATGGCCAGAAATTCTTCCAAACCTCATCTTAACTTACAATAACAAAGACCTCATTCAGAAATTTCTAAGCAGAAGTCAAGTTCATAGTCATTTAGTTTTTCTCCATCAGTACTACTAAGTATGAAGATTCTCCGTTTGCAAGTTGTACCAATAGAGATGTATGGGGATGATCATAAAATGATAAAAGGAAGCATAATATAATCTTTTCGGTGAAGGACAATGCAATGTCATTATCTTGATAAGCTATTACATACCATGCATTTGATGAAGTAATTTTTTCATACATGTTAAGCGCTGACATTTTTTATCACAGAACTTTGACTCAATACTCAAAAGAAATAACCATACCTTATATCAAAGTATGCATGAATTGATTTCACTGAATACTGTTTCATCGCTAACATATGATCACAAAATCGATATGGTCATTCCAGAAATGTCAGTGTCCTTACTCAACCCAGAAACCACAGAAAAGATAGCAGAGGTTCAAGATAAGGCTGTCATATTCTAAGTTTTCTTACGAACATATTGAATTTTTTGCATTATGTTTTCAACATTAAGGCACCGAGAATAGAAGCTAATTTTTAAAGAGACTCATGTACATTATTTTAGGGTGAAGTTAATCCCATATTGAGATTTTTCATCTCGAGAAACAATGTGATTTTTCCAGAAAATATTACATCAATTATACCAATCACTCACCTATACTACTTTCTGGGGAATGCTACATTGCCAACCTAATGTACAACTAGGTTGACAATCAACACAAGTGAAAACATCCACTTGTGTATTTTTTTATTTATAAATACTTGCACTAATGTTGTCAACCTAGTTGTACACTAGGTTGGCATAGTAGCATTTTTCATACTTTTTTCAGCAATTACTTCAACTCATTTTTAGAATAATATCACTTAAGTAGCAATCTTTATTACACATTTTTCACTCACACAACTCTAACTACCAATTATTATTATACTATTTTATATAACATGAAATTAATCATTACACTGACTTCAATCTCACCCATTCACACTCCAAAATTTTCGTTTTTCTTTTCAAAAGGTTTATCAACTCTATTCGCTTTCCAAATGAAATGGTATGAAAGTGCACCTTATGGCAAGATTGATATAATGGAATGGAATTTCGTAGGAATGGAATGATTATGGTAATGGAATGAAACAAGTTTGGTCATTGATGCGTTTGGTATGCAGAATGAATAAGACTTGAATGAAATGACATTATTATTTTTTATTATAAAAATAAATAAAAGCTTTTTTAAAAGAAATATATTTTTAATAAATTATATATAAATACTTTTTTTAATATTATATAAAAATAAAATAATACTACCTCCTTTTTTTATAAATGTCATTTTGGCTTTATCAACAATTGTCTAAATAAATGACGTTTTGGATCTTTTGTACATATCTATTTACNCTTTTTTTAGTTTTATTTTTATATAAGTATTTAATATATCTAATTAAACAATAAATAAAAGTAAGTTTTTAATTTTTTTATTTGAATTTTATTTTTTAAAATAAATTTTTTAATATATTTTAATCATGAGTTATAGTATATATTATATATTTATTTTTTATTATTATTTGTTAATTTTATTTTTTGAAAAAATCAATTCCTACACACATGGGAATGAGAAAACCTTCCATTAACTATGGAATGACTAATCCCATGGAGATGGGTTTTGCCATTCCGATTGGAATGGGTCATTCCTTTCCAAAAAATATAATCCAAAAAATATACCAATCATAAGATAAAGAATGAGTAAGGGAACGATCATTCCATTCCAATGTCATTCCTTCCTACCAATCATGCCATAAGTATCTGAAATTTAACCATTCTCTATACTCTTTCATAGTGATACAGATAAGATCAAAATGACATCGAGGTTCAGAGAGGCAAGAGCAAAAATTCTTTCATAGATGGGTTTCAAAGGGTGAGAGTGAGACTTCAGAAAATCAACTTCACAGCTGTATGTTAGAAGTTATGAATGTCCAACATTGATTAGTTATTGGTGTGTATATGTGTGGGTCGGGCACCCTCTCCTTTTGAGCCAGCTTTTAATGAGTTCTAGCAAAACCCATTTATCACCATAGAAAAATACATTTTACATCCTGATCAGAAACATATGAGTTTCTTTCCATAAAGAAAAAAGGATAAGGAAAAGAAAGCAACTTAAAAAAAAGAGGAGTCCACTTATGGCTTCATTTTAGAGTAGTATCAGAGGCCTGAACCATATAGCATGGAAGCAGTAACATTTATTATATAAAGCTGCACTAGTGTGACGATGGGCCAATGGTTATTCATTCAACAGAAGCAGAATTTATAAGTTGGAAAGTAAGAGAAAGATTCCAAGATAATCTGAGAAAAGGATTACCAGCTTCCGAAAGTCAGCTGCTGGGACAAACTTGTTTTTAAATGAACAGATGCAATCTGAAATCTTTTCATAATTTTCAGGTGCCTGAAGCCGTTCCATAACTTTCTCACGGAAAGCTGACTCGGCCCCCTCCATCCCTGACAAAAAACAATTGATGTTAGATGTCTTGTTTGGGGACATCACACTCCCAAGGAGCAAATCATGCAGCAGCAAGATAATCTGAAAACCGAATATGATCTTCAATTCACACTCATGCTTATATTCATCTTATTGTTCTCACAGGAGCTAGGACCCAAAAATTAATACTTCCATTAAAATGGGATAATATTGAATCTTTTAAAATATGCTAGGCACTCAACTACCTAAAGAATGTACATGATAACAATATGCAAGTGATATGAGGTTGCATAGAGTGGATTTGGCATCTTTTCCTACCTCCTCTGGGTAACTGGTCAGCTGCAAGGCCATCTCGTCCAGCAGATTTTCTTCTGTAACCTAACCCATCATCATTCTCCCACTCATAGTTGTCTCTGTCTTTTTGCTTCCCCTTTCCCTTTTCGACCTGATAGTTATAATGTTCACCAACAGCATACGAAACGTGGTGAGCATTTTACAGTAGCAGTGTAAAAGAATCTTACGAGCACAAAATGGAGTACCTTTTCAACATGATTCCTGCTGGGTTGCGCATTCTGGACAGAGGCAGCGCCCGAAATATCGGGAAGAAAATGAGTGAACTCCACAAGTAGATCAGCATGATTCTGAAATAGAACTGAAACCTACAAAAGGAATTGAGACAAGCACACTTCGGTTATTGTTTGGTTGAAATTATAATACTCGGAATGCATCATGTAAATAAAGAAAGGAAAATATTATTTCGAAACCATTTCGTTGGAATTTGTAACCATTAGATCATTAAGTAACAGTCAATGATAGTTGATCTAATGGTTACAAATCTCAACGAAATAGTTCCGCAACGGGATTGTAGCCTTATCCATAAATAAATATAACTTAAAAATACTACTCTCCGTTATGCAAAATTACACGGAACCCAATTAATTTTCTTTTGTTTTGTTTTGTGTTGTGTGATAGGATTGAATTAAATTAGCTTAAAAGAGTGGATTGTAATTAGTGCTGTTAAATTAAACATGTTTGACTCGGCTCGTTATGGCTAGAGTTCGACTTAAGCTGGAGGCCTTAACGAGCCGAGTTTAAGCTCATTTAAAGCTCGTTTGGTTAACGAGTCGAGCTCGACTTGGCTCGCTAAGATTCGAAAAAATAATTTTTATATAATTTTCTACAGTTTGGCTCGTTAAAGCTAGAGGTCGGCTTTGCTCGATAAGACTCACTAAATCATTTTCTATTTCTTTATCCTTGTTGAAGACTATTGTAGAATAACATGATGTATTTATGTAAGGATAGGAGTGAAGTTCATGTAATTAAATATCTATTACTATATAATACAGTTAAGAAAAAACCATTCAAACAATTCGAAAAAAATTAATTTGTTTTCCCGCTTCATAATAGTCATTTTCCCACTTATATATTTCGTCAAAACTGTTGTTGGCAAGACTGTTGTTTTTGTGGAGATTTTCGACAAATCCTCCCGGTGATTCCAAAGGGGAACCATCAACAAATTGTTAATGCTTCACTAAATGCTTCAACCATTTGGCAAGATTGTACTGTGCTTAGGTTAACGAAGAACATGCGTCTTCAGAGCCTTGATGATTTGGATGAACGTGAGGAGCTTTATAAATTTGTTGATTGGATTGCTAGCATCGAAGATTGCACTATTGGAGGTTATAACGATGGTTGTGCCTCCATTGAAATACCAGATGATCTAATAATAGACCCATCCGATGATCCCATTTCTGTAATTGTTGAGAGCACGTATCCAATGTTCAAGAATGCAATAGATGATCCAAGTTATCTGAAGGACAGAGCCATACTTGCACCTACGTTGGAGATCGTTGGGTCTATCAACCAATACATGTCGTTGAATATAACAGAAGGTCGTGTATATTTGAGCTCCACAGTACGTGTAAATTCGATTTGAATTCTGACTTCTTGTCAGAAATCCACACTCCTGAGTTCTTAAATTCTTTCAAATATTCTGTTACACCAAATCATGAGTTGCATTTGAAGGTGGGAACTCCGGTTATGTTGTTGCGAAACATGGATCATTCTTTGGGATTATGCAAGGGGACACGTTTGGTTGTAACAAGACTCTCCAATCATGTCCTAGAATGTAGGATACTTACGGGCGACCATGCAGGGGATAAAGTGTTGATACCTCGAATGACGATAACTCCTTCGGATGCAAAAGTACCTTTTAAGTTTCAGCGAAGGCAGTTCCCTATCGTGGTCTCTTATGCAATGACTATTAACAAGTGTTAGGGTCAATCCTTATCCCATGTTGGCCAGTTATAGCCAGTTATATGTTGTTGTTGCGCTTCACCAACAGAAAGGGTTTGAAAATTCTAATATGTGGAGAACATGAGTTGCCCCCAAATCAAACAAATAATGTTGTGTAGAGAGAAGTTTTTAATAATGTATGATTTCTTTTTTATACTTATTATGTTTCTATAATTAGATGTTAAATCTAATTAATTCAATTTAAAATAAGTATTTCAACATGTTTTAAATTATGCGCCCACCGTGCATCACACGAGTTACATACTAGTTTTCAGAACGAAGTGAAGACCTACCTTTTTACCAATTTGTGCAATATTCTAATATTCATATTGAAATGCCATCGAGTTTACTCATAAAAATAATTATATCTTTTGTGAGTCACTTGGGATAATTATTCAAACCTTACACTTTTATACTTCCCAACATACTGAGGTGGCCTAACAAAAACATTGTTACAATTTAGACACTATTCGTACTTTATGTCTCACATTCAAATATCTATGGGAATGAGGTTCTGACTGCTTGTTATCTCATTGATGGAACTACTACTCTTTAACCCATACAAATGCACATATGATGTCAATTTAATTATACGAAAGTAAATAAGTTTGAATCTAATTGCGATTGTGGTTGTGCGCCCTCGATCTGAGTTCGGTGGCTTCCCCTCGCCGGCGGGTCTTCGATTGGAGTGGTTTTGCCCCTCGATCTTCTTCTTGTCTGCGATTGGTGGTCTCCCGGTGTCTCTGCAGTTTCTGGTGGGGCTTCCGGTGGTTGCGGGGGTCTAGTCGCCCAGCAGTTG